ATATATATATAGCAAATAGCTTTAGATGAATATTCTGACTTAGTGTTGTTCAGCTGAGTTCGAATTCGTGGAAGGTTTTGCATACACGTCCAGGAAGAATCAAACGTCAGGCTAAGAGGATTCTGCCAGCGTCTAGTTACGAGTCTCTTCTTGACACATCCTCGTACGTTGTGAAGCTCAGCTTAACCACGACCATGTTAGCAAACGTATTGGTTTATCAACGACTTCTAACTGTCTACTATGTTCTTATTTTCGCAAAACAACAACAACGAACCTACCCATTTTTCTTTAATTAAGTCGGTCTTTAAATTAGCAGGACTAAAGATGATATAAAAAGTGAAGCAACCTCTATAATCCTCTTTATTTACCGAAAGTAGCAAAATGGTTATCATCTATCTATTCGGGGATGCTCCTTGAGATATTTTCTTAAATAAACTGTCCAAGTTACTTTTCGAATACCAGATTATCTCCGGGTCTTGTCTGCATAATAAATACATGTTTTTGCCAATGCCATTTTAGTGTGCATGGGGAGGCGGTGTGCTGTTCCATAAAGAGCGGCGCTACCTGCTGAATGGGATCGAGAAGGCGGATTCGGTTACTTGGAATCCACACAAAACAATGGGTGCCACTCTACAATGCTCTGTTTTTTTGACGCCCCACCTGGTTAGTAGAGGAGAAGTATGCTTGAGTCTTAACTACCCCTTAACTCCAGTTAATTTTACTAAATTATAGTTTGTGTTTCCTTGAATTATTACGGATGTGAAGTGTTTGGTATTGAACATTTCAATGCTCAAATTAGTTTGGCCAGCCTCCAGTATTGATCTATCAAGAGCATTACTTAACCCTATTAGCAGTATCTCCATTAATACAACTCGAACTTTAGTGTGGGTATAGAGACGGAAGGAGAACTTATGGGATGAGGGTGTTTGTAATTATGGCGAATATAGTTTATACGCTTCACAACTAAGAACCTCGCAGTCTCGCTTTAACCCCACAATCAGAGGACATTTTGAATTAGAGTCCCACAGCCTAATGGCAAAGGAAGTGACGCTTCTGATAAATTTGGAGTTATTTCATCACTGACCTGGGAAATATCCAAAGGTAAAATCTGAATTCAGATTTGGTGCTGAGCATGGCTAGCCTCACGGCCGATGCCAACTAAACTGGTGACGAAAGTTCTGAGCTAACTTAGTCAGCTGCCAGATTGTGAAGAGCGGTAGAAAGGGAGGCAGTTGCGGAGCCAACCCGTAAGTCTGTCAACACCATGGAGG